CTGTCGAAGTTCAGACGTTGCCACGGGATCGAGAATGTTGAAAGTATTACCTGGCATGTCTGCCTCCGTGGTTAAGATTAAGGGTTCATCAAATCTGGCTGACTGCAGTGAAGATACAAATCAAGCAGTGTTTCGCTGGTAAGGAGACCTTCCATCTGTCATGAGAATCGAATAACAGTACGAGGTTTTATGCCAAGGTGAAGGGAGGTTTGTTCTCACTGGAATAATGGTATTTGTGCAGGTCTGCCATCAAACTGTAAATCCATATGTACTAATGAACGTCTTAACAACTAGCCGGCTGATTTGTTAATCGTTTTAGGTGAAAATTGCATTAGAGGCAACATTGTAAGGAAAATGATAAATTATTGAAGGCACATCATCATCTCAGCAGAATGCATGACAGTATTTGCGTGTATGATGGTGACAATTGCAAATGAATGACAAGTTCGTATTTATGTTTTTGCCAGTGTTCATGATGAGTATGTTTCATTCAAGTAGGGAAAAGTTCTGACCCAGATCAAAATAACATATTTTTTATGGAGAGGTCTTTTGCCGCTTTATGAAATTATCAAACATGTGGCGGAACGAGAACATTATCACGGTCTTAAATTGAAAAATCGCTTCGTCTTTTAGGTAGATGGATCTGAATCGCCTGAGCGATACAAGTGGAGAAAGAATACTAAACAAAGACAGATATTAGTTGCCGCAAAAGTAGGCAGATAGGGTCATTTAGGATATGCTGGAATGTTTGTCACAGATTTTACTTGAATCCTCAATCTCAAGTTTTACCCATGTTTTACGGACCAGTTACGATTGATTTGGTGCAGTCTTCGCTTTCACTCTCCAGACGAGGAAACCTTGTATTTTTAAGGTTTGCATTTGTTTACTGGTATCCTATATTACGTCATTCAAAAGATTCACTATAAGGTTCGATTTTTAGGTGCATTGTACCAAACACATTTATGTTCTTAAGCCCCCTCCTTACACCTCTATGGTGCACGAAGATATTAACCTTCTCTAGAACTTTTTGCGAAACGCAACTACGAAATGTTAATACAGATAAGTAACGGAAGCGTTTAGTTTAGCGTGGCATCGATGCAAAGACACTTCGCTCTCGCAGCTTGCTCTTATCGCATTATTTGACCGCCGGACAGGCACCATCACCATCCACTTATGTTCTGCCTAAACACAACAGTTGTTAGTTCACTGAATCTGCATTTATCTGTAGCTGAAGCAGATATATTGATTCTCAGGCTGGCTGTTCTTATAGTATTTCATTTCAGAAAAAGATTTTCCTGCTAGAGACGACGTCTCACGAAGGTAGCTTTCAAACTCAATCACGGTCTGACATTTCCTCCTGGCCGGTGATTGTTTACGCCTCAATAGGCTGCATGATTTTATGTTCGTTATTCATAATGGTGAGGTTTTACTGTGCTGATACACTGCGACAGAACTTCATCCGCAGATACTTACTTTTGGGCTTCGATCCAGTGTCGCTTAAGTCTCCCAACAGAGTGGAACTGCACAGCGAAATTCCAATCGTCAGGAATGCCGTCGTGGAAGTAACTCCGGAGCAAGTGGCGCTTCTTCCTGCCGTTAACGACGAGGATTTGTTTTATTAGATGTTGTTACTACGTCCCATATTTTAAATTGGGGTTCGCATTGGTGCTGGTCATATTTAGTTGTTGTACTGTTATTGATGAAAATTTTATGCCTCCATCACCGAAATGTTAATAGGAAACAAAACACGATTCAGTATGGAAAGAAGCATGCATGGACATGACGATACTGTTTTCAGCGGACGCTAATAACGCAGTAAATAGAGTAATTTTACCATAAGATAAGCGTCGTAGGTCTTCTGTTATTGACGATCAAATTATTTAATGTCTCAATTATCAAGGGTGAATAAACACTAGCAGAATAACGGACGTTTTTGAACTAGTCGAGAAGCTTATGAGTGCTGTTTTGGGTATATTCGAAATGTTCACTTAATACTTTCAGTTTGAATCGATTAAACAAGGGATATGATGACGGGAGTTACAAAGTTCTCTTCGTACTATTTCTCTTTAGTAATTTCTGGTCTAGCAGTATTTTCTAACACTGTCAGCCTGATTCTGATTTTGGAGCTAAGCACTACCCGGTTTTAAAGGTTTAACAAAATTACTAAGCTTGTCCATTAGCTTAAATTCTTTAAAAAGGGGAAGAAATTATCTTTCGCTATAAAATGTCACATAATGCTCAAGAAAATCCTACTTTTGACTGTGCTGTCGCAAAACGACTTTCGGTGGCTGCTTCACCAAAACATTTACGGTACGAAATGACATTTATTTAAAATTTTATTGAAAAAAAGCATGTACATAGAGAATAACAGCACCACAAATTTCAGCGTTGATACCCGCTTGTAGAATCCAATAATTGAGGTCAAAAACGACTCTGAGTAACGAAATTTTGAATCACTGTAAAGCTGTGACCAGGTAAACTGGACTTGTCAATGAACGAATACCGTTTTCATTAATTCGTTTCTAACAGCAACTGTACCGAAAGTGCCTTAGAATCATGAAGCTGCAACAGGTTCCATCCTAAGATGGGTGCGAGTCCCAGGAATGGTTCAAGATCTTCACAAAAATCCACTAATTAGTTTCCGCCTGACACTTGCAGTTAGTTTTATCACCAGAGAACTGGCGGTCAAAACCATGAAGACTAAATTATATGCAAGGACCAGATAAAAATTCCCTAACCAATCCAGACGGCCATAATGACCGAGCAGATCGAAACTTGAAACACCTAAAATCTCGAGTCGGTTAGTCACATCTGTCAGTTCTATGCATATTCGAACAACGCTTGCCTGTAACCCTTGTGAGCACTGGAAGAGCTGAACTAAGAACCAAAATAACCACACAGTTAAGAATAACCTTAGTGATTGAAGTTCGATGCCGATAAGGCCGTAACCTTGCCATAACTGGTACGTTGTAGAGACCGACTAAAGAAGCCGTGGACAGATGTCTAAATCGTACATTAAAGATGCAAGCGGACAGTTGACACAAATCAAGTCATTTACATATCTCCGATAATTTTATTTTACACCATTTACTGTATCAGTGCCAAACTGTTTTGCGCCATTCTATTTAACAAAATCATATTCAGTACAATATCTTTATTAAATAGTCAAAAGATTTTTATTAATTTTACTTCTAGATAGTGATTGGCAAAAAAATTCCATATAAGCTCATTTGCTAAATAATACAATGATTAGGCGTGGTACACTTTATTTATGCGCTTTCAGCTAAGAAATTGAAACGTCAGAACAAATAAAACGATTGTATCATGCATCGATCATTGCGCAGAAACTTAACAATTGAAATTTTTGGGCGTGTAAAACAGAACTTATGAAGAAATTTAAAATACAGATTTATAACGACTGCATTATCTTAAAAATAAAAACATTGAAAGTTAGCTAAACATGATAATTCTTGTAAAGGTACTTTTATATGTGAAAATTTTATTGCAAACAAATTGCACATCGTCTGTACTTCACAAATTTGCTCTGATTTACGGGCATCTCTGTGCCCTGTTGAAATTTTTCGTACAACTATCCTAATATGCGAAAGATGTCTGAAGGAGGTATGGAAGAATTCTTAAAATAGGCTAAACTTGTCTACTGCCTTTCAGGAAATTGAATGTTTTGGAAATGAATATAAACGAAGACCAGTAATCATTCTGAAAGTGCATTGTCAAATTTTTGATGACCAACACAAAACCGCCTAAAACAATCAAACTTTTAAGATGTCTATCGCTTTGACGTTGCACTCAGCAAGTTATCGAGGTATCATATTCGAATCATGGAATGAAATTAGTTTTATTAGAATTTAACGACTATTTCCTCTGTACATTACTTGTTCGCATCGCCCTTTTCTAAAAATCCAAATAATGTGACATTCAAAGCCTCCTCCCTTAAGGGAAAGTATTACAACCTTTAGATTAGTTCAAACCCGCTTTAAGGGTGTTGAGTTTAGCATTAAAATGCACGCACGACAAAAAGCTGCAAATACACAGCTAAAAACTTGACTTTCATACATACAAAAGGAGAAGAACCTCTGTGAATGCTCCGTAGATTCCAGCGAAAGATGCTGACGAAGATCCTATCCGAATATCCTGAATAAAAAGCATTAAGATTAGTATTTGCGAAAGTGAAATCAAAATGAGCCCACAAAAATGACAAGCATATAAACCAGTTGTGCTATTTATGTACTGCACCGAATAACTTTATTATTTGAAATAGCCAGTGAGCAATGCTACAATTAACAGAAAGAAAGAACTAATCCGGATGCAAACTACCATTTATCTACTAAAGCATACACGTACATAACTACTACTGTTTACTTAGTTTAACTATTGCTTTCAAAAGGTTCTTTTTTATTTAAATCACATTCTGTTACATATCTTCAACAAGGGTTAGAGAGCTGCAATAAACTTTTAAATCCGGGCTGTTCCTATTAGCGTTGTCTTCTGCAGTTCTTGATCGCTTTTTTAGCTGACTTCAGTAGATGCTGATGGTTCTGTTTCACTGCTGCGAGGGTACTGATAACACATGAATTACTTCTACCCTTACTTTCTAGATCTTTTGTATTTCCATTTTCAACTTTTGATATTCAAATGTCTTTCCTCGCTCTTGAACTACCACGTTGTCGTCAGCTGGATATGGTATATCAATGATTTGTACTCACTCTTTAGCTTTGCTTATCAACAAAATATCTGGAGGATCAGGCGATATTTATTTCTCGATTCGTATTGAGAAGTTAGGGAGAACATTCGCTTCCTCAGTCTCCTTCAGCTGACGTTTCAACCACTGCTTTGCCAATGGTGACTCGGCTTGCTTTTAATAATGTGCGTGACCATTCAAGTAACGTCAATACGGTTTCTCCTGTGCTCCAGATTCGTGAGCGCTTTGCAACCAGAAACTATATGGGTGACGGTCTCATCCTTCTCTTGACATATTCTCCACTTTGACTCTGGCCACTTGTGCAGGATCTTCGCTTTGTATAAGTTCGTGCTCAGTGCTTTGTCATGGGCGGCGATTAGAATGATTTCAGTTTTGGGACTGAGTCCATTCCTTGAGAGCCAGTTGAAATTCAGATGGTTGATGTCTTCACCAAATTAGCAACGATATTCTCCATGAACATTTTATTTTTCTGATCATTGTATCAGCACATTTTCCTGATGATTTTGCATTTATAGCTGTTCGTTGTTCTGATGTGCAAAGGCCGTTAACCTTTACAGTCATCAGCATCCTATCTTTCACTGCCACTGCCAGATAATGCCTTGATGATGTGTCTAATTCAGTGTATCTAATGCTACGAAGCTCTCCAAGCCCTCTTTCTTGTTCCTTACGTGGGAAATTAAGTCTGACCAGCTCTCCCAAATAAATGATCAAAATTTCTCTTGTCTTACTGTCTAGCAAAGGCATTTTCGCATGCAACCACCTGTCGTTATATCCTGTACGATTAAGCACTGGTTAATAGGGACATGCAACATACGTCAAAAAAGGTTCTGTGCAAAACTAAATCATGCACAGAAAATTTACCTCAGAACTGCCGGGCAAGTTTCGGCGGCCGGTTAAAAGTTGAAAGATATTGTAGGTGACCATCAGCAAACAGACTGCCTAAACGGAACATTAAAACTTTTAGAACTGAAAGCAATGCAGCGAAAAGCAGTTCAGAATTACATAAAGGAAGCTGTTTTAACTGGATACAGATTGTTCCATCAGTCAGAGCCTTCAGAAATCATTTAACTGACTGGTCTCTGACTTCGTGTTTGATTGTTTGCAAGTTATATTTTAACTGCTTCAGAGGCCGCCATCTCAAGAGGGTGAACTCGACTTCATAAATGTAACAGCTTGGTACGTCTGCTGTACTATAACCTCTAGTTGGAATCAAACGAACACTGTCTGGTGCAGCAGTATATCAAGACATGCACGATATTTTACGTACATGCATGCTTCGAGATAGACAAGAAGAAAATGCCCCTGATGTTGCGTTCCTGACTGCAAATTTCAAGCCGATTCGATCTGAAACGTCAAAAATTTGTTCAAATCTATAAAATTTATATAGTAAACCCTATGAAGATTCTGGCGATGAATAATTGTTCAACGGCCCAAAAAATTCAAGTAATCTCGTTGTAATTTTTTATTTCATCACACCTAGTGTTGTCGATTTAAAAAATACTTACTGTCAGGAAGATCAGTACGGAGATGATAAACGGATATTTTACGCGTTCCAACCAGAAAAAATTCATCTGCTGGTTCAACATCGACTTCAATCGTTCAAGGTAATATAACCGCCGTGTCATGGTTTGCCGACTAAATTGATCTGAGTCGTTCCCTATAATGAAACTGTTAACAGACAAGACAAAAAATGTATCACTAGCTTCAGTACTGCAATGAAGCAAGTATCTCAAAAGTGACGTGTAACACTGTTGTACACAAAAGCATAGCAAGCTGTCGAAATCTGTAGGAAAAATAGGGACACCATACATAGCACATTCAAAAACTGATCTTCAAACGAAAAACTGAACAGCTAACAAAAAAAGACTGGCGTCCTAAAAGACATTTCCAACAAATCTAAACAATGGGTTAAGAGCAAAATGTATAAAACATTTATTGTACGTAGCTCCATGAATATTTAATGCTTCGAGTTAATTAACATTAATATTTACTGTCTATTTCTACTTAAGAGTCCTCTGATTCTCAGCCACACCAGGCTTTCAAAAACATTACTTCACGTGACGCATTCTTATTAACACAACAGATCGAAAATGCAGACCGAAATGCATAAAATCAATTCCAAGAACTAGAGCGAACAAATTACAATATGCGGATGACCAAAAGATAAAATAGAATGAGCGGAAAAATGGCG